CGAATATACAAATTTTGATGATTTCCATCGAAAATTCAATTTTCTACAATTCTATAAACTTTATTTATTCCATAAGTACAGTTTCCACATTTATGAATATATACCGAATACAAATTACATATTAAAAATTCGAAACTTCATCAAATTGACAAAAATGAAATAGTAGATTTACTCTATTATATTTGTTTAATAACGTAAAATGATATATACAATTCACTGTGATTGTACGAGGTAATAAATAATAAATCCATAATAAAAGACCCAATTTATGAACGGGCTTACAATACGACATGGTAGCTTTTTTTAAATTTTCTGTCTGTAAGTGTATCTTAAAGGACATCTGTGATATAATGTTATATGTACATGAAAATCCCAAGACCAAGCTGAAATCTGATATGGTCTATGTGCAGTCGTGGAACCTTTGTCACCTTTACATATACTACTACTGTGTTTTGGTGTTACCATAATTCATCATCATACCCACGTATAATGGATTTTTAGATATATATCGGCACGGTCAGTTATCTTCTTCACAGACCAATACGAAACTATGGAATTTGTTGTTCATGTCCATTCACCGAAAATAGATTGTCTGGAAATCGTGTTGTTTTATTTTCAAGACTAGTATATGACCCTTAAGCATAGAATAAAATTGCCATTTTTGCAATTTATTTTCGTGTGTACTTATAGAATTTTTGTATACCCGTTATATACAATGTGTTCATATTTATTTGTTATTCCAGTTATTATTACTACTCCTAATTTATTAGTATGAGTATTATTATTGGTTTTCATGCAATTTTTTGAAATATCCATATAAATATAATTTTGGATTATGGTTTTATGTGGCCTTGAAATTTTAACAATCTTATCGTAAAGCATAGCGTTAAGTAAAAAGCGTATAATATTATAATTCACATTAGTTGGTGCTTAATTTTTCCATTGATTTCTTTTCTCATATTTGATGTCGCTTCAAAGGTAAAATACAAATTTTACCTTGTGAAATCAATGTGTGCACTACTATAGTTGACTGTATTGCTCCATCTAACCATAGTTGAACTACAATTCTACATTTATAAATTCATCGAATAACAACAATGTTTAAGCTGTAGCTTATACATGTAGAATTTACTAGTACAATATGTGAATTTGTATGCATAAAAAGATTATATTATACGTGTATATAAATATGGCCATGTTCACGGACCACCTTCCCTTTAGCGTACTCATAACTTATTCATGGATACATAACTACCCTTCAGGCTTTGATATTCACTCGGTAACGAAGGATACGACCAGTGAGAAGGGGAAATGGGTTTAATTTAAAATGCATCACGTTATATTGGCTCAGAATCTCGTGACTCATAATCGTCAGAAGGGACTTTTTTTTATTGACAGTAAAACCTATTTTATGTCTATAATCTCTTATGTAATTTTTTAAAAAAAAAAACTTCAACACGAATGATTCGTTATAATGTAACCATTTAATTATTTTTCATTTCCATTGTATTAACGTAAAATAAAAAAATAATTTTGTAAAAATTTATCTTCTTTAGCTTGTTTATAATGATACTAAAATACGATATACCAACATTCGTTAATAACAACGAATATTTTTTGTTGTAATATGAAGGATCTGAAAAAAAGCTGACATATGCAGCTGTGATGTATAGAGCACGATTTAGCAAGTTATGGTAGATAAATGGAAGTAGGAGTGGATTCGGACAAAAACGATTGACCTATTTTGGGTTCTCCTGTAGGCTTAAAGGTCAAATATGTATATATTTTTCCACTATAGCAAAACACTCTTTTGTAAAATAAATTTCCAATACAATATAATTAAAAATGAATAATACATTTTTTATATTTTATTTCTTTAAAAAATACTTTTAAAATTATTTGTTGAAGGGCGTATTGTGTTTATGTATTAAACCTGGGTGGTTAACTAAGTGATATCCTATAAGCAATGTAATACTACTGAATAATAGTACCTAGAAAGTATTTTACTTATCCGAATTTAATACATTTTAATAAAATTGATATAATATAATTGTTTAGTAGTACATTTTATATAGTATAATGTTTTCTAATTTTTATCTCGAGCAATTTCTAAATAAGTACAATAAGTCCATAAATATATACTTATCATTTAAATAGCATATAATACTATGTATCTATTTTAATTTATTATTGAAGGTATTCTAATTTTTTTAAATTTCTTATTTAAAAAACGTAATTAAAATTATAATTATAATTATAATTTATAGTTATTTAAATTCAATTCAATTAATAAAATTTTCATTTATTAACCAACGATAATCATCATACTTATGATTACGATGTATGATAAGCCATGTTTAATACAAATTGTAAATAATAGATAATGATGATAATAGTAAAAATGTATAAAAATACTTTTTTTTTTTTTTTTTTAAAAAAAATTTGACTTTATTTTGAAATATTACAATCTATACAAGGTGTACAATAAGTAATAATTATGGTGAAAAGAAAGAAAAAACTATGAACTAATGATGACATGGTAGGAAATCTCTCATTAGAGACACCTAGTGGCTTTACAATAAAATTTACAATTTATTACAATAATTTAATTTAAGCAATTTATAAAATTTTTAAGTCGCGGCACCAGTTCCGCTTGAGTCTTCTAGTTGGATTTCCGGGTAGTGCTGGTGTAGCAAGGTCCTTGATAAGTTGGTTGGGGTTGGATAGAAGTTTTGCGTGGAAGCGTTTGTAATATAGAGTGGCTGTATCGTTGACAGAGCGGATCTTGATATCGGAGTTTATAATGTTATTGGAGACATACCAGGGTGCTCCTGTAATTAGACGACAGCAAATATTTTGGAAAGCTTGAATGGTTCTTTTGTTTGACTTTTTGGCAGAACCCCATACTACCACCCCGTATGCCCAAAGTGGTTGTATGAGAGTCTTGTATAATAATATTTTAATGTCTAATGTTAGGTTTGAGCGTAGGAGTGGCCTTAGTAGGTGCATTCTTGAATTCAGCTTTTTGCGTTTATTCATGAGGTGAGATGACCATGTTAGTCGTAGATATTTAACTTCGTTTGAATGAGGGATCATAATATTATTCATTGTTATTGGAGGACAGTAATGAGGCCTAAGAGAGAAGGTAATAAAGGAAGACTTTGTTTCATTTATTTTTATTCTCCATTTAACGAACCATTGAGAGAGGATGTCAATGTGTGTTTGTAATTGGCGACTTGCAGTGGTATGATCTTTGGCCGTAGAGAGGATTGCGGTATCGTCTGCATAGGTTCCGAGGATAGTAATAAAAATACTTAAATAACTAAATAAATAATGGCCATTTACAATTGTTAAGTACTAATACTAATTATTACTGTACACTTATTATAAATTACTTATGTTAATGTATAACTTACATTTAATGTATTCAATATTTCAAAAATAAAAAAATGGATGATAAAAATTATTAAATATGAATTATAAAATTTGACATATTTAAAACGTAAATGTATATTGTATTTTATACTTAGAACTAACTCTTGAATGACATATGATTATGAAATTATATTAGCCGTTTTATATTGTAGTGTACCAAAGTTCCTTATTATCTTTCAATGGGTTTATATAAATCAAATGTTATATAAACAATACTGTGACTTATTTTTTTCGAATTAATATTTTTATAAAAGTAAAAACACACATGCATAGAAGTATACGATGAACATAAATATATAATGCATATGATTAGAGTAAAAACAAATAGCAATTTTATAGATGATATAAACATTGTGTACTTGTTAATTAATCGATTTTACTGACAATGAAATTACACTATAAACATGTTTTATTTGAGTATTTGAAACTAGTAGGAAATAATTAATAGTTGAAAAATCTAGTTTAATTCTGATTGTGACAAGCTTAGCATAATTAATAATTATTTTATCGTGTTATTACTTTCTCTATGAACTTAATATTGTGGGGCTCTAAGACATTTTTAGTGTACCTTTTGCATCTTATCGCATTTAAACATTTTGAACATTTATAAATAAAATAATATTTATTATATGTAATAATTACATATAATATATAAAAAAAAACACCAATAAAGTTTAGAGAAATGAATTTGTGCTTAATATAAGTTATAAGTTTATAACCATATTCATTATCACATAAATGCGCTTGTTTTCTCAGTAAACCTTGATTAAAAATGAAAAATTACATTGAATGAATATATATTTTGATAATTGGTTTAATAGTATTTATTTAATTTTCTTGAAATTAACTTTGTAATATAATTAATAGAAAAAATTAAAAATGTTATTGTTTTAAGTATTTAAATATCTTAATATTAATATTTGTTTTATAAGTTTTATTGGATGGATAAACTATTATAATTATTTATAACATAAATTTAATTTCGATTTCAAAATATAATTAATTTTATATTCATAATATATAATTGTTTTTATAATTATTTTATTTTAATAAGATATTTCAATAAAAATATATTATATTTATTATTAAATCACTTAATTATAAGCTATTAATAAAATAAAACTAAAATTGATGTTTAGCCTAATTTATTGTAAAATTGTAAAATTACATAAAATCAGTTACTAAAAATAGTAAAAATAGTATCTCCGAACAATTATATTATAAAATATAAATTATTCGTCGATAAATTTGGGTTAAACTGAAAACACATTTATGATTAAGGATTTATTCTAAAATTATAACTTAATATAGCTTATATAATATATAATATCATAATATGAATATTTCTTAAAATTTAAACTAACCACATGCATATTTTTTTTTTTTACTTCGTGTACTGTGATAAAAGTTAGTTAAAGTGTTAGTTGCAACAAAATTTGTTTTATGGATTCTAACTCCATTAATAATCTTGGCCCGTCATTGACTTAGTTTTTGAATTAAGAATCAATAAAAAGGTTTAACTAATCCAATGGATTAAAAACTTTTACACGTTAATTTTTTTTTAGGTTAATGGAGTAGTTTTACATGGAAGATGTCACCTAAATGCTTCAGCCATAATCAAAGGTATACCAGGACCGATTTACAAAATAATTGTCCTGAGGTAATCTTTTACTATCAAATTATTTATTGTATAGTCCATTTCGTCCGTAATAAATTTTAACTATCGCAAAGTTACCTATTAACTGACAGAATTATTTGAGATAAAAATGTTTGTAATGTTCGAAGCCATTTATTAAATGTTATAGGAGACCAATGGCTCTAGATGAATTAGCTGTGCGACCAATCACTCAGTTTCCTATTACGCTTGATGACGAAGTAAGTATCAACTTGTTGTTCAGTATTTATTATTTTTTCCAGTACTTAAAACTAATGTTGTTTTTGGCAGACGCCGGAAGAGAAATATGCCAATTACAAAGGTCTACGGATCGTTACTATGAAAAAGGTAAATATTTCTGTTTGTATATTTTCTATAAACATGTATAATACACCTATATACCTATATACCTTGTAAAATATAAAAATATACTCCTGTCCAATATAAATATGTAGGCACTTGACTATTTTTTCTCAATTCCTGTATAATAAATATACTTATTATCTGTGAATTTAACTAAAACCTCAAAACTTGCTTACAAAATTTAATTTTGTCTACTTTAAAAAAATGAAATACATTTATTTATACTTATTAATACATACACGCACATATACATATATTTGTACATCTGTATGTATGTATGTATGTATTTATAAATATACATAATTTGTATTTAATATCACATTGTACTCACGCTCTCACATCTCTCGCAGGATTAACCACTTATATAATGTCGTGTAGTACAGTTGATTTGATATGTTTCCTATAGCCCTGTATCAGTTTTGCATACGAAGGCCAAATCACAAATTCACCCACACAACAGGTAAAAGAACACAGCACACTGGATCGTTGATTGATGGTTTTTTTATTTTTTTATATTTTTTGTTTGTTTATTTATAATTTTTTTCTTAAAATAATATAACTTTGCGTAAAAAAAAGTGTAATCCATATCGAACATAAGAGGGCAACCGCAAAATATAATACCTATAATTTATTTGCGTCTTATATGCTCGTTGAATTTATGATTTTCAACCGTATGCATATAGTTCCGATGAAAACCCATAAAACACATTCATGGTTCATACACCTTAAAATACATATACACATGTTGTTTGTATATACGACATAATTGTTATTCTGCTATATTATAAACGTAACTGCAGTGAAAAATATGAACGAGATAATCAGTGGTGTTGAGAAGATTCAAAGCGTTTGCCCTCCAGTGTTCTGCGTGAACGTCGTTATAGTAAATATTTTGAGGTGTAAATGTGTAATCGTTATATTTTTGTTTTATTTGCATGTGTTTTACTAATGTAAAATATAATCATATATACGATATATTACATATATCTGACTACTGCTGCGAGTGTTTTAAAATTTGAAAATAGAGTTTTGACATACTTACATACAATAGTAGTCTGCCATTAAAAAAATAAATAAAAAAATATAAAAAATACTAACAGCAAAACGTAAAATATTTTGATTTCAGAGTCCTCATGGTCTAGGCATAATGATTTTGGAGGGGAAACACGCGGAACTCGGTACCGGTATATTTATATCCGACATACAAGAAGGAAGCCCGGCTGAACAGGTAAATAACAATAGTTTTCTAGGAAATGCGGTGTTGTACTCTTGCACATTTTTCTGTTTGATAAAAAAGTAATAGTTCCACGTCATTTCAGCTGTACAAATATTTGCTATAAAAAAAAAAAAATAATAATAATAATAATAATAGTTTATCTCCCACCGAAGTGTTGAACAAATTATTTTACAAATATTCTTACACCAATTATGTCTATTCTTCCTTTACAGGCGGGTCTGACGGTAGGCGATTTGATTTTGGCTGTAAATAAAGATACATTACTGGGTAGTAACTATGATGCGGTGAGTAATAAAATTAATAAAATAAAATGTTTACAAAATTCAATTCATATTAAATTCGCGAATCGTCGACGATTTTTCAGGCATCATCATTACTAAAAAAAACTGAAGGTGTTGTTACGTTGGTGGTATGTAACCCGCGTAAGGATGACAGCGGAACGGCTGCAGACCAGAAGAATGCGGAAAAACCCAAACAACCGGAAAAACCGAGTAAGTCAATTGTTTTCTGGTCGACTTTCTTTTTTTTTTAAGTTTCATTCATTACGCTTTTTATTATTATGTTTTTTGCTGCATGATTATGTTCTAACATTGCATGGGTCATACTGTTTTAAAAAAAAATAATTTTTATTTAGTAAGTATGACATTTAAAAATATACGAAAATTGATAGTTAATTATTGGGTTTCTAAGTATATATTTTTTAATAAACCGTTTTTTAATATTAGAATCTCAATCGCCTGTTTGTTTGGATCATTCAGTCGAACCACCGCCAGATCCGGCCACTGCTCCAATAAAACCTGGTGTCGAATCGACGATCGAAATCAACAAGGACAAAGTTGGCTTAGGTCTTAGCATAGTAGGCGGAACCGATACATTGCTGGTATAGTAATAATAATAATAATAATAATAATAATATAATATCATTTATATACATTTATATATATATATATATATATATATATATATATATTAGTAGTGTATTGCAAATCTGAAATAAATTATAAGTTACTGTTCACACCACAACTTTCTGTATTGTTTAATGTTAATAGGACGTAGTCATTATTCACGAGGTTTACCCAGATGGCGCTGCAGCCAAAGACGGTAGACTTAGATCCGGTGATCAGTTGTTGGAAGTGAACGGAGAAAACTTCAGGAATATAACGCACACCGCAGCGTTGGGCGTTCTACGACAAACACCGGCAAAAGTATGAATTTGCACGCAATAATATTACATTATAATAGGCAACCCTCACGACCCACATTAAATATTGTCCATATTTATTATAATATTTTCATGTAATTTGCATTGTTACTACATGATTTTATTTATCACCATATTAATAATTTGCTTAGGTGACCATGGTTGTGTTACGAGACGAGTCTTGCATTCCAGACGAAAACGGCACCGAGTCCACGGACATATTGACTATTATGGACACATTCGACGTGGAATTGACAAAAAAGCCTGGAAAAGGGCTGGGGTTGAGCTTAAAAGGAAGGAAATCCGGTTCAGGGATATTTATATCAGATATTGTAAGCTTAATAATATTTTAATATCGTACTTTAAACTATTGTAATTGCACTGAGCATGGTAAATTATATTAAACTGACTTTTTTTTATTGAATATTGTACATAAGGGCATAACACATGATCACATCACAAAAATAAATAAATGGTCGTTATTTTCAATTAATTTTAAAATCAAGTGAAATTTATAATAATAATAAAAACATAAGAACATGGTCCCTCCCCTCCCTGCCTTGAGTATATTAATTTAACTGATATATATATATATATATATATATATATATATATAATGCCTCAGTTTGTGCGCGTATTGGTGACAGAGGTAGGCCGCAATCCACTTTAAAAATGTTATGATCCTACAGGTATGTGTCTCACCCTGTTCCAACGTTTCAAGACTTAATATTATTATTATTATTTTTTTTTTTTTCTATTGAATTTGTAATTATTATGTTGGTTTTAAAAAAAATTGTCAATCGGGATGAGATTTATAACAAAATAATATGTCAGATTTTTAAAAATGTTAATTAAGTTTTATAAAATCTTTACACTAAAGCAGTAGTCGACAACTTTTTTGGACTCTTGGACTACATTCACAAGTTAAAAAAGGTTCACGGGCTAAACAATACATGACATTTATATCCTATTCAATTAAATTTCCTCGTTTTGAAATTTAATGCGGGCCGTATAAAATAGACGTGTGGACCAGATACAACCCGCGGGTTACCAATTACCGACCACTATACTTAGGAAAAATTAGTGTATTTGGAGAGTGAATAAAAGGTCGTGAACATCGTGATTGAAGGAGCTACCATTAGTGACATTTTAGCTGTTGAGTATTATTTAAATCATTTAACCGAGTATACATGAACTGCGCCAACATTTTTATCTATGTTGAAAAGGTATGATTTAAATCATGTCCCATTTGTAAAATATACAAAACTATTAACTTATTAAGTAGTCACTATGGTCGTGTATTTTTTCAATTATATCACAGAAATTGTAGTTTTGTCCAAAACCATAGTATTCGTAAAAATACGTTATCGAATAACTACTGCGGTAATACGACTACTGTAGGTTATCACTACATCCAGCATAGGTCTACTTGTACCAATAGTATTTGTTTTAATCAGTGACGACGACCGAGCAATTCGTGTCGTAGCGCAATTCGTGCTTGAAAATTATTTTAAACTTTAAATTTCTTAAAATTGATGGGCCTCTAAGTTCGGGTGATGTTTAATGGCGATGTACGATCAAAATTTTCACAACATTTTTAAATACAACAAAATTCGTCTTCTTCTTCGGTTAATTCGGCCACTAGGACCATCCCGACATACATCCTTGCCTCCAATTTTCTCTATCCGCTGCCTGTATCCTCCAGTCTAAACCTCCTTCTAACGTTTTCACATCATTTCTTACTACGTCTTCCTATCTCAAACGTGGTCTTCCCAGTGGTCTTTTCCCAGTAGGGTTTCCTTCTAATACTATGCGTATGAGTGGGTTTAGGCTACAACAAAATTACTGAATACAATTTAAATCGTAACCATTAATCATTATCAAAATTATCAATCGATGGTACAAAGTTATTCCTTCCAGTTAAAGATATACGTATTTACGCTCTGGTGCGTATGTACTGATATGAGTATAAATGTTATGCATCGGTGATGTCGGATATTGAATCATTCGAATTTTCCGTGTATACAGATGGCTGGAAGTGCGGCCGGAGCTGACGGGCACCTGATGAAAGGTGATCAGATTTTAGCAGTGAACGGGCAAAACGTGCGGAATGCTTCGCAAGAAGAAGCTGCGACCGTGCTGAAGACGACAACAGGAAAAGTTACGTTGAAGATAGGTCGTCTAAAGGCGCGGTCATCCACGTCTAGCTCGGACAAGTAATAATATTTTATATAATAAATATTTATAATGAATACATTATTTTTATCACACTACCCAAGTTTAGGTGCTTCTACCAATCCGCATGTAAACTATGTAAACTAGTTAAGTTCTAATAAAATATTACCAAAAAAAAATTGCAAGTATATTACGATATGATCGAAGACAATAACATTGAGCCTTGGACACCGTTTATGAGTGTTAACAAATTACGATTGTGATAATATACATGTATAATTTAATACAACATGCATATTTTAGCATATTATAATATGTTTAGATTTTCATCATGACACTTTATATGTTTTTTTCATGCTTTACTCTGGGAATACGTGTAGAAAATGATTTTCCGGTTCTGTAAGTAAAACGCCTACGTATAACTTATAGAGTTTCTGCGATAGAAATATTAGTTCCGTGTACATGTGTGTGTATGTGTGTGTGTGTGTGTTACGTGAAGTAGACGTACATAATATATTATGTACTTTTGAAACAGTAGTTTGGTATTTATAATCAGTTGTACGCACATATACATTGATTATCTTTGCGTCAGTTTTTTGTCGTCAGACTAATAATAATTATGATATTTTATAATAATGTTGCATGATTGTTTGGAGTTTTTTTTTCCGTAGTAATTATGTGATATTATTTATCGCCGTAGCCGCGTAACCGAAAGCGTTAACAGTATGTTATTAAAATTATTATTATTATTATGCTGTTCGGTTAATTGCCAGTTGTGTTTCGCTGCCTCGTCGTAAGCGCGCGCGCGTATCGGTGTTCGTCGTGGCCTAATGAGACCGATTTGATGCGTGCGCTACGTACTGCTGTTCGTGCCAATATCGTATACATAATATTATTATTATTATTTTTTTTAAATTTTTTTTTATTATATTGTACGTTTGAAACACGGCCGTGTTACGCTGTCGATCGGTTGCGCGTCCTTGACGTGACGCGTGTAGAGCGGCAAACCTATCCTCGCGTGTGTATCGCAAAATCGATTGGGGACAGAAGATTCAAGCCGTTCTAATAATGTATAATGTTGAGTTATGTCGTTGTACACGTATTGGTTAAAAAAAAACTGACAAGCTTTTCGCGCGTGTTAATTAACACGTATTAATAATACACTGTGGTTAAAGACACCACGCCAGAAGTACCCAACCCATGGCCTGCTGGTTGGAATCGGCCCGCGGGAGAATTCTAACCGGCCCGTGACCGTTTTATAAAATTATAAATTTCTTATAGGTATAAATAAAAATTACAAAAACAATCTGAAAACAAACTAGCGACTAGCATGGAAATATTCAGTACTTTAAACATACACGATAAGAGTCATAAATTCGATTGGTGATTAAAAATGTTGTGAATTTGGAAAAAATAAGTATTTTCAAAGGGTGTTTGGTGGAGATAAGGAAGTAAGATTAAGTTAGGTGTATGAGTAAAATATTTAAACTACAAATTAAACTGTTTAACTTATATTTCATATTGTGATACCACAAAAAAAAAATATTATATAATCGACTATCGAGAAATCGTAGTATCAAGGTTATTGATGTTTTAAAGTTGAACGGAACGTTACAAAACATTCCACATCGTCTGTTATTATTGTTATCAATTATAATATGAATAATATTCATATTTCATATCAATCAGCAGTTTCACGAGTTCAAGATAAGCCATTTTTTTCCTACGTAAAATTTGTAAAAATCTCAGAAAAATTTCGAGGGGAGGGGATTATAACACCCAAACCTCACTACTAGTTGCACCACTAGATGTATAATCCATTAGATTAATGGTTCTGTGTAGTGCATATTTCTTTTCTTGTTCAGTACAATATTATGTTGGAAACTATTTAATATTGAGTCATTTTTCCTAAAACGGTGCTGTGCAGTTATAATGTTAAAATTCAAATTATGTAATATTTATACTTTACACTCGGCGGTATAGCTATGAATTCTGATATTATATTATAAATATTCAATAATATAGTATTAATTTGTTAAACTTTAACTATTGCAATAATAGTTGTAAATTGTACCAAGCATTACTTTCTTATTACATCAAAATAACGCGTAACAAAGAAAGAAAAACATTTCCGGTTTAATTCGATAAAAGGTCTTTTCTTGAAAAATAACTTATAATATTCTCTGGAGTGAATAAAGTTTGATTCTTTCATCTAATTTACATCCTTGTTCGTGGGCGTGGGGTGGTCATATTTATAGATAATATTAGTATATATTCTTATATTATCTATGTGCATATTCACCAGCGGGCAAAATGCTGTCCATGATAAGTTTTTATCCGAACGTCGTCTGCAGACCAGGATATTAAGCGAATGTATACCTACTGTCAGTGCTATGCCTATGCATAAAGCCGGTCCCATACGATTCGTGTACTCGGCGAATAATCGTCAATTGTGATGCTTTACAAGTCGTGTATGAGGTGTTTAATCGTCAATTAGACGATAGTAGTAGGACGATTATTTTTACTCGCCGAGTCACTCGCGGTTTCCCGTCGATGTCGGATACAACACGAGTGACTCGTGCTGATAAGAAATTTAATCTTGGATTTTCCCCCAAAATAGACTATTATTTATTGTGAATATCACAGGAGTTTATAATACGAGTCGTGTAGGAGCATTGGCGATGACGAGCATTGACATTGGCATTGACGAATAATCGGCGAGCACACGTGTCGTGTAGGAGCAACATAATTACAAACATCGTACATCGTACAAACTTGGCAAGTACACTCGCCGAGTATACGCTCGCAAAGTACACGAGTCGTGTGGGACCAGCTTAATAATACTATGAAATTGATCGCCAGTCCCCGAAAACTCCTATAAACTACGACATGTATTGTTTGATATACATTTTACCGTAAAAACTTTCAACAAAATGCGGAACCCAACGCGACCTAACTTCCGAGTAATGGCCTAGTGATATTTTGTTTTGTTATATTCGTTGCTGTGTGTAGTGTAAACTTGCGTCTATATTAATATATTGTACATAATATTATATTTGACCTATGAATATATAATAACATATTATATCAAATAGACAGCGTGCGCACGAAACAAATCCATTTTATTCTATTTATCAAGGGGTATTTTTCATTTCATGCACGAAATACCGGGGGATTTATTACAAATTTGACATTTTTATTTTCAATAATAAATGAAAAGGACACTTCCTCGAAATACAATATAATGCTACTTGAACAAAGTACAGTGCATCGACGCAACGTTTTCCAGTGGCGTGTCCAGAGCTTAGGCCTGGTAGACCCGGGCGTACCCTGTTTTCAAATAGTTATTTATAGGGCTGGAATTTTAATGCACTAAAAAAATTATTTTATGACCTAAAACTCTAAATAATTCATTTACAAAATGCATTAACATTTTTATTTTTAATAATTTAAGTATAAATAAAATTATATGAATTATAATAAAAAGTTAAAAGACGGAAAAACTCAAAAAATGCATTTTAAAAATGACTTTAAATGTATTCAAAAAATTTATTACAAGTGTATTTAGTATAGTATTAGTTTAAATCTAAAAAAATAAGTTGTACACAAATCAAGATATCATAGACTTGTATTTCGTTTAATCTGGAAAAAACAATATATATTTTTTAGTGGTAGTGGTTACTACTCAGACGTCGTATACACTCGTTATCTAAATTTTGACATTTCAACTATTGTTCGATAATATAATACGAATTACGAGTACTTACATATAATTTGTTATATTTATATAAAAATCATGTTGGTGTAAAAACCTTAAAATAAAGTTTCAAATTCATATTTTGTTTCCAAAAATCCAAAAATTGCTCAAAAACTCTAAAATGCTCTAAAAAATTAAGAAAATAACCTAAAAACTAAAAAATGCAAAATAAACTTTCTTATTCTCATTCAAAAGTACACAAAACAAATTTGTTACAAGACGAGCATCGCACACTAAGCTTTGGAAAACAATGCAAAATGCATCGAAATCCCAGCCTTAGTTATTATTAATAGTTTTTTACATTATTATTATTATTATTATTTACTTTTTAATATCTTTAAATATTATTAACAAGTCAAATAGGAGGAATTATATGATATTACGAGTATATTATTTGATCATTTTTTCTAATTCAATTTAAAAATGGTATGAAAAGTTTATGAAAAAATAATAATAATAATGTGTACCTACCTATATAAATTAAAATAATTGTAACTGGGCCTGTCCTACATTTTGATCCCGGGCACGCCTCTGTTTCCAAATTCGTGAATCGGTGATTAAGTGTTGAATATCGTATTGATTTCCTAGTAGAAATATATTATTTTTATATTTATTGAACAATTTGTTTTACTTTTAAAACAATATTTACCACGAATTGTATTTATTATCAGCGAAACAATTGTTCTTTTAATTCAAGTTCTATTTGAGTATTTATTTCAGGGGGTGATGGAGAGGTTATCCCTTTAAAAATATGTATTTATTTATTAATTATTTACTTCTAAGACATACCGCATAGCCCTGAAAATGTACGATACTCAGGACCTGATTAAAAGTTTATCGGGCCTGTAGCCTAGTAGTACAAAGGGCTCTTAATCCTTATAATATTACCGATAGCTGAATTTTATTTCTTTAAAAAAATTATACAAAGTAATTGATTATACAGAAATATCTTTAACCTTTTTTAATATTTATCAATTTTCGTTACATGCAAATATACAATATTATTCTTTAAATGTAAAAATATAATTATAATATTTTAAAACTAACTTTATTCTCTTATTTTCTCTTCTTGGAACTCCACAATAATTTCATCTGTATTTATTTCTTTTAGTAGAGATCTCAATTACAGATACAAATAATACAATTACGAAAATTAAAAAAATATATAATCAAAATATAATTTAAACCTAAAAGATTTTGAAGAGGGTTTATGATAGAAGGCCCCTTTGGGGTCTTAAATATTTTATGACATGGAGCCCGGGCTCCTAGCCTCCGTGCTTAATCCGGCCCTGACGATACTCTTCGGAATAGAAGGTCTGAAATAAATACTTATTGTACCGCATACTCAATAAGTAATATTTATACATTACATTTAACACCTTTACTCGATGGTGTAAATAAGAGGGGTTTGGGAGTTCAATCCTTTAACCCAGTTGCCAAAATCTCAGCTAGTAAATATGTAATAATAAAAATAATTATTGCCTAATTATATTATCACCAACCACATATAATCTTTACCTACGCACCCTTGTTTCTATGTATCTATAACTAGAGCCGGATTAAGAGGGGGGGGGACTAAGCGGGCTATAGCCCAGGACCTCCAAAAAAATAAAATGGGCTTGCAGCTTTTTTTACAGTTATAGATATATAATTAGAAAAATATGATTTTAACAATATTTATTTAAAGATACAATCATATTAATTTTATTCATTCGAAATAATTGTCTGTGACAACCTGCATGTTATTGAATTAGATAGGTACATATACAACAAGCAATATACTGTGTTATTTCGTTTTATTTTATCGCTTTCAAAAAAAAAGTTTGAAGTCGATACTTTCTTTGTTATTATAAATAAATTGATTTCTGAACTTGACAGAAGATTAAATTCTTATAATCTTTTCTTTCTCAATTCAAATTTTTAGTTAACTTTAAAACTGACAATGACCCAGACATTAATTCATTAAATAACTGTATTTAGTTTTACCATAATGATCTCGACAATAACTTGAAAACAGAAATATCACATTTTTATTATTATATCAAAACAGTTTCTTCAAATATTGATAATTGTGGTGCTATAGCAAAACTTCAACGACAACTTATTGATGTTATTATTATTGTTGATATTATTGATGTTTTTCCAAATATATATATTGCACTAAGATTATACCTGACAATACCGTTGACAAATTGTGAAGCAGAACATTCATTCTCAAAGTTGGCTCTAATTAAAAATCGATTAAAATCTACACATGGAAGATAGGTTGAACGCATTAACAATTATGTCAATTGAAAATGACATATGTAAAAACTTTCATTTGATGGCGTTTTAGATACTTTTGCATCAAGTAAATCTAGAAAAAAATATTTTAAATAATCATTTATTTGTATTTTTGTGTTATTACCTTATATTTTACATTTTAAAATTTAACTAAATTGTATTTTTTAGTAAATTAGTATGTAATGTAAATTTGCTGTCTGAGAAAAAATATTTTTTTTATCTATCTAATAAATATCAATTGGCATATTATTATAAAAATACTTTTTTTTGTAAAATTAGGGCCCCAAAAATAAATTAGTCCTGAACCACTAATTTCATTAATCCGGCTCTGCCTATAACTAATACTTATGTGTTCATAACGTTTGATCAATGTCAACTGTTTTATTACAGCGATACGGCGTCGATGGGAGAAACGCGCACCGTGACGATGGTTCGTAGAATGGACGGGTTCGGTTTTAGCGTGGTCGGCGGTCACGGCCAGTTACCAATCTCCGTGAAAACTGTGTTCTCTGGAAGCGCGGCCGACTCGAGCGGACTGTGTCGCGGCGACAGGATATTGGCCGTCGGCGGCGTGCCCGTGGACGGTCTGGGACACGATGAGGTGGTCGCCATGCTCAACGAGGCGGCCACATCCGTAACGCTCACGTTGCAGTCTTAGCAGCCGCGCGATGAACACAGTACACGCGCGAACCATCCATCCATCCCTCGGTGATGACGGGCGCGTGAGAACACAGTCGCCACAACATCTCACCCCGCGAACATCTGGCCCGGCGCGAATAGCTTTTTTTTTTACTGCAGACATGGTCATCACCCGTGTTTATTCACCTATCACTATTCTGCACACACAATAGCAATCACGGAGCTTGTTCGAAAATCATCACCCTCCCGCCGAGTTAGCAAAAATAAATACAATTTTATTACGTTCTCTCTCTCTCTCTCTCTCCGATCTATAAATTTTCTAAGCGTGTGTCCGTTGTACCTTACATGCATATTTTGTCTGTATTATAATTACCTTTCCGCGTATTCGTAACGTGTATTATATTACATATATCACGTATTTTTCATCTCGTTTTGTTTCGTTAATTATATTATATACCTATATTTATTATAATATAGATATGTGAAACAATGCACCTATTACATAGTCAACTACTTTTTAGTCAGAAATTTTAGTACATAACTTATATAAATTAATGTAGTGAAATTAATATATTTAGACTCTTTTATATATATATATATTTTACATATATGTATATACTTGCACAATCTAAGACATTTTATTATTATTACGAGTATTAGGTAGGTAAATATTGCATTATTAAACATGTTGTAAATTTGTTGAATTTTATATGAAACTTGTTAACTTCGTTTAGTATTATATAAAACATTATTTGTCTTTTGTGATAATAGAATTAAGACTGAATATAAATTAATCATTTAAAAAAAAAAAAAAAAAAAAAAAAAATTGAAAACATTTTTCATTTATTTGGTCTCAACCTAATTTAGGTGCACCTTCCAACAGGGTCACGTTTCTTGCATTATAACTTTGTAGAATAATAATTCGTATAAAGGCACTTTTAACATTTTTAATGAAATAAACTCAAAATCCGTGTGCCAATAATTATAATTATATTACATTTGTTATTAAATTAGAAATAAAATAAAAGTTTGCATTAATTTTGCTGTAGCTGAACAGCTTTTATTACTATTTGTTATCAATACATTTTTTTTTTAATTTTATCTAAAAATATTAGTTTATTCTTTAAATTGTATTAATGTTAAATTCCTAACAACATTTGTCTAAATAAATAAACAATTTAACATTTAAAATGTTTTGTGTATTTTTTTATTATTCATGTAACTAATTTAAACAGAAAAAAAGGATAAAAATATTATTATTTATTTATGATTGGTTTGTTGGCATGTGCAATTATTGTACGAATACAATAGTTATTATTATAGGTTTTATTTCTTTATTGTATTTTTAATAATAATAAAATGCATTCAATATATTTTGCAAACTACAAAGATGAATAATACGTTGATACAATTTTTTATTATCATGTAGTTAATAGTTCCAAGACATAAAACGAAAACTATTAAACTGAACTTTAATGGCAAACTATATAAATTATAGTCATATAGAAGTTATATAGCTCAAACATCATAAAAGTTTTTCAAATGGTCACATTAAACGGAAACTAGTTTTTATGACAAAAAAATAATAAAATATTGCTTATTACATTTTATCAAACTTGAAAGTTGCTTTTAATGTTATAAAAATACAACTGTTTACAGCTATCAAGTATGACTCTTTTAAAATCTTAAAATACAATTATATTTAATTATTTATTTTATAACTTTTTTACGATATTTGAATTCAAAACTATTGACTTTTTTTAACTTCAATTAATTAAATATTTCATGAAATGTAAAAGAAAACAGTTAAAATATTAAAAACTAATTTAATTAAACTAACATTTGAAATTTGAATAAACAAATTATTTATTATTACTTAGTGCACACATAAATTATGAAACTTAAAATAATTATTTGGTTAACAGAAACGAGATAAGTGTGCATTTACCGCCCTTGAACTTAATCCAGGAATAAGTTCATGGTAAGAAATATTTTACATATATATGTAATCAATTTTACAAGTACGATTTAATATTGTAAATGAAAAAAAAAAATCTATTGTACAATAATAGTAAGATACAAAAAACTAGTCTTAATATAAATAAGACTAATAGTAAAGTAAGAAGTAAATAAAAAATTACAATAGGGGCCAAAACACCGAGTTTATGGAGTGAATTAAGCCGCACAAGCTCTTGATGTATTAATTTTTTAATAAATATCTTAATATCCTTCAAAATGAACAAGTTAAAAGTTTCACAACAACTTATGTACTTTATTACATTAATGTATTTATTTTTTTTTATATTTATATTCCAATAACCAAAATATATTATCATTGCTTAGATAGGAAAATATTGACCATAAATTACAATTAAGTTTAGATGAAAAACCAAATGAACTATGAATATCACCCAGTTGCAAAATGATAAGTAAAGTACCTAATAACAACAACTTTATTAATTTAAAGTCAACTGATGACCATATGTGGTAAAATAAATATCACTTTTAGTATTAATAATAATTCAAAATGAAAAAAACTAAGATATGTTTACTGTTGGAGTTGCTTGTTCTTCTTTATTCTTTTTCTGATAACATTCCTTGGTTTTTTCTAATAAAAAAAAGGACATTATTAGATAATACTATAGTCTAATAATATAAAATTGTACGTGAATTTTACTCACAATGAAAGTGGATTCAGTTTTTAAAGCTTTCAATGCATCTATGTATATTTTTTCATATTGTTCCAAGTCAGAAATATCTACTTTCATATTTTTCACATCAGTTTTACCCGCAGAGTTCAAAACTTTAGTGAACAGATTTTTCTGCAAAATAATACAATCAAGTAATAAGATTATAATATTTATACTACATAATAATTATTATTTACATGTTCAGGAGTAACAAATGTAATAGCTTTTCCTTTATGACCAGCACGAGCAGTTCTACCAACTCTGTGTATATAATTTTTAGGATATTTTGGAACATTGTATAATATCACACAAGAAATCCGTTCAATATCTATGCCTCTTGCTAATGAATCTGTACAAATTAACCTATAAAAACATACTAAAAGTCATTAATTTTAAAATAATAATCAAAATGCATGAAAAAACATACACATCTATCTTTCCATCTGAAAATTGTTTAATATAACTTGTGTGTACTTTTTGGGACACATCTGAGGAAATTTCATTAACCCTTAATGGTGAATTATTTGTATCGAGTTCACTAAGTCGACTTAAGAGTCGAGTCAATCGGTGAACTTCTAATTTTGATTTTACAAAACAAATCACTCTTTTAAGACCTTTGGTTCTTATCAAATGGTAAAATGTAAGTGGTTTATTTTCTTCAGGACACAAAACCATGTACTCTTTGAGTTCTTTGGGTGTAGTGTATTTTCCAACAAAATCACCACGTACAGGCTCATTGGTATTAGAATCTAATGTAAATATAAATTTTGTTTAAATAAAGTTTCAAATTTTAATTTTAAAAGCAATATTACCTATAGGCAATTCAATATTTTTTCTTTTTATAATGGAAGTAAACAGTTTTGGTTCAAAGAGTTTAAGAAACTTTAACTTTTCAGGATCTTGAGTGAGTGTTGCAGAAAATAATAATCTTTGTGTTCTTTGTGGCCAGTGCTTTAATGTTTTTAAGGTACATATTGCTGGTCCATTATATGCTAAAAAATAATAAGTTATCTAAATAATCGTTAAAAAAATTATAATTTCATAAATTTACCTAAATTTTCATTAACTTGTTGTAGCCAATCATTTTGCAAAATATTAGTAAAACTATCAGCTTCATCTAAAACAAGAAATCTAAGATTTTTCAATGAAAATCCTTCAGTGTAGTATAAATGATCAACTAAACGTCCAGGAGTTGTCACCACAATGTCCACAATGCTCATCCATCCCCGCATAGTATCTAAAACCATTAAATATAATGTTTTAATTTCTTAAAATTCATAATTAATTCTAAATCTTCAATAAATTAAATACCATATCGTAGAAGCATATTTTTTTCTTTTTCCAAAGTTAAGTTTGCTGATTCCATTAGATACACTTTCAAATCAAATGCATTTTTTATAAAATATGAAAATACTTTAAATACTTGCATAGCCAAAACTTTAGTTGGCAAAACAATTAGAGCACGGAGTCGTCGTCTAGGCATTGATTTTAACGTCTACAAATATAAAATATAATATTTTAAATTATTTAATTAGATAAAAATGTCATTAAATAAGTCTAACCTGAATTATGGGTAGAACATAGGATAATGTTTTTCCACTACCAGTTGGTGCTGAAATACATGCATCTCTAAGCCAGGTTTCGTCCCAATGTTTTTGTATATTTATTAACCAGGGTATCATTTGATTTTGAACTGAAAAAAAGTGTTGAATAAAGCAAAGCATAAACATAAAACATAAAAGATATTTATTTTCAATTTAATTACCAGGAAAAAAATGTGTGAAGCCTTTATTTTTTAATTTTTGAACTAAAGCAGCATCCAATTCTGGAATGCCATCAATAGGCACTTCTAAGTGTTTCAAATCCACGGATATGATGGTGGGCTTGGCAAGCCATTCTGGTAGAACTCGTTTTACCTAGAATTCGATAGAAGTATCTGTTCGATAAACTTATACGATTTAATGTAGTCGTTTCTGAAATTACTTTTTTATTTTTTTTGGTTTCCTGCGAATTGACCAAAGTGAAGTCCGATATTGTTTTAGATTCGTCCATATTATATTAAGTATATCACCACGTAATATACAGTCGATAATGAAAAATTAGTAACAACACATTAATCAGAAAATTATACTTTCACAGAAAATATTTAATGCATCCACTAAAATTTAAATAAGCAACACACGTGCATAGATATTTTATCTTTGTTGTATTACTTCAAATAATATGATAACATGTTATGTAAAATCAGGTTGTGCACATCAAAAGAAATTATACCAAAATAGCGAAAGGAAATAATTTTTAAACATAGGTGTTACTTGCTAATATTTATTTAAAAGTATTTCGATGGCATTTGGATGATATTCTGAATGAAATATAATTAAATAATCAATAAATTAAAATTTTTTGTAATTTATTATAAGACAATCTACATAATACTATCACTTAGTGTCAGTGCCAGCTGAATGGCAGGGTAGAAAGAGCAGCTGCCTAGGACCTCGCGTCCGAGCCCAGACCTTTATAAAGATTTAATAATTTATGTAATTTTGTTTTTAAAATTAAATAGCAGGTGCCACTGTCATGTGAAAATGTGTATGGTATTTTAATCTTTAACTTCAATATTACGTATAGCAGGCATCTGTATTGTAGTATAAATAATATTAATAATAAATTCTTCTCCCAACTTTTTGGAGTTGGCCACCATAATCATAATAAATTAATAAACAATTATATATTGATGAAGCTTTTTCGATGATAATATATTATATCCATACGTTACGTGAATTAGTAAAATGTGTCATACGAGTAGTACTAGAGCGTATGAGAACAATTTTTTCAGCTTCACGAAAAAACTTTTTAGAAACATTCAATCTGCCCCGAACTTCACAAAACCTCCTACCGGCGCTGCATAGTGTGTAATTAAGTACCCTACGATTTGCTGCGTCTTGCATATTTTTAACTATTTGATATTTATTATTGAACGGATTTTATTTCGGTTTACATTTGCATAGTATTTCACGGGAGGGGTTGAGGTTTTTTTTAAAAATAACAGACTCATGATATTTATATGCCTATATCGTAATGCAGACCTATAATTGTTTGTACTATGATGCGCTTTATGTGGTACAAAAAGTGTACCTATAGCCTTGTAGATTAACACGTGTAGGTACTAATCGAATTCTATTCAGTACTTGACTTAGGAAGACGCGGGGGAAACTGAGTAATCCAACTAAATTATCAGATATTCTAGCGCACCTCTACTATATTTTCAAAAAAGGACGCATGGGACGGTACTTTATTTCAGTTTTTTTTTTTTACAAAAAATAAATATTTTTATTAAAAAATAACCATTTATAAAATGCATTCATAAGTATACTTTGGTTTTTGATACAGCGGAACATGATAAGTGATAATAATCAGTATTAATCAAACATTAACATCGACAATTTTTGTTAGCATGCACAATCGCGTACCTATTGCCATCACATAGAACGCCTGTAGTTTATTCATTTTTTTTTTTTTTGTTAAAACTAGAATTTTAAAGATAATTAGGAATGTACTACAATCTTTAATAGTTTTCAATTTTCTTCGACTTATGTATTTGAAAACATTTCAAGGATGGTTTGACAGAGAAAGAAGAGGTTGGATAGGTAATGAAATACATGTTGTGTATCATGATTCACAACGCCACTGCATACTACATATTGTGGTTATGATTCAAAGTTTGAAATGAGTATTATAAGTTTTGGAATATTGTGTGGTTTATGGTAACATGTGTCATAAAGGGGCAAACGAGTGGCATCCCTAGACCCTTTTATAAGTTAGGAGGCTAACTTCATTCATGTATTACCATTTATGTATTTTAAGAGTGATTGGCACTTGTCCGAAAAATGATGAGGTCCGTAATTTGAAAAAGCAGTACTAGAGGAAACTTGGGTAAGATGGGACACTTAACTTTAATTGCAATTAATGGATTGATTATTTATTTTATTGATAAAACAAAGATTTACATTTTATGTAAAATTATATGTAGTTTCTAAATTTTCAATCAACTTTGTTATATTTCAATTTATTATGCATATATTTGCACTTAACTAAAAATTGGGTTTTGTCCCATCATGGAGGTAAGATGGAACACGAGTAGGGTAAGATGAGACGTAGATATTTATTCATAATAATTACCCTTTATTTCTTATCATTTATGTAATAACTCATTTTTATTAATGTAAAAATACATTAATTATGTTAATTTTATGTACTAAAAGGAAAGTTGTATGTATTAAGTATAAAATATCTAATAGAGCTTGTCATATTTGTTTAGATTATAATATGTATAACTTCTACTTTATGATACTAGGTATAATCATAAAACACTAAACAGGATAAACAAATCTGAATTATAATATTCAAATTTAAAGCAAAACAAAATATAGGAATAAACATAACTATTTAACTTTTTAAGATATATAAAAATACAAACATAATAAATTATTTAAGTCTATGGATCAGGTTTACAAATATCACAAATATGCTGTAATTCTTTTTCACTATCATCTTCACCTGCACATGAGCAATGTGCCCATTTTTCACATACCCTACACTGTACCCAGCCTTCTATCGACGTTGAGTATGTTTCTCCACAATACAAGCATTCAGCATCATTTTCATCAGATGACTTTTTTTTCAGTCTTTCTTCTCTTAGATTTATTTTCAGTATCACTTTTCTTAGTTTTAGTTTCAATTTTATTTTTTTTAGGAAATACATTTTTCTTTACACATTTTTGTTTTGCTTCGTCTTTTTGATTTTGCAAATCGTTTTTGTATGGAGAACTTGTAAAAATTACAGTTTTACCACGACGAATATTTTTTCTTTTTCTTTGCTTACTTTCAATAGATTCTTGAGGCACAGGCATTATATCTTTAGGAGATAATTTTTCAAAACTAGTTGATGGAACCGGCGTATTTGTTTTTGGCGTTGATATGATTACTGGATTTGCATAAGATTCAAATTGAATATCATCTAACATTTCTATTTGGATATCTTCTAACAGTTCTATTTCAATATTTTCTATTTGCAGGTTATCCATTGCATCGTTCTGATTAATTCTTAAAGAATTATTTTCTATATTATTAAACATTTGTTCATCAACATTTGTCGTTTCAGCAGCCATAAAATCTGCATCGGTGAAAACATCAGGATTTAATGGCCATATTCCTGTTTTTTTAAATATATTGATAGCAGTTGATATAGAAGTAGCTTTAATATAAGCTAATCCAAAAATGTCTGCAACTTGTTTGACTGTTATGACATTACCTACATTTGTGCCAAGCCAATTAGTATTTTCTTGGTCATAATATGTACTTAAAGGTTTCATAAAGCCTACATCTAGTGGTAGTAGTTTATGAGTGCAATGAGGTGGGAAATATAAAAGTATAACTCCATTGTCACGAGCCATTGTAATCAATTCAATAATTTTGGTTGAATGTCCATCTAGTATGAGTAAAACTGGTCTATCTTTAGAAGCATTAGTAAAAATTATAAACTTTTCTAACCAGCGTTCAAAGATTTCTTTCTGCATCCATCCAGATTTATGAAACTCAGCAAATGATCCAGGTGGAGCATTTCGCATAAATTCCACGTTATGCCGTTGTCTAGGAAAAACAAAAAGTGGTGGCATAAAAGAACCTGCTGCACTCATACATATCTCAACCGTAATAGTTTCACCACGCTCTGCTGAAGTCACAGCACCTACTTGTTTCCTTCCTTTAGAAGCAATAATTTTTGAAGTTCATCTTAAATCAGATGGAAAACCTAAAACTAATAGCAATTTTAAATGGAGGCATGTTATAAAACCATTATACGAACGAATGAAAAATGATTTAAAAAACTCATCTCCTTTAAAAACTTCACCTAATTTAAATCTAGCTCAATTTAATGATTATCTTTTAAAGAGAAAAAAAAATTGATGATTCTGGGCTTGAAAATAATCAATCAAATTTTTCATCACCAGTAAAGTTTACATCGTTGGAAACTGAAATAGATCCGGATTTAATAAGTTTTACTACACCATCCTCTAAAACGGGGTCCGGTTTATATAAACAAGTAATACCAAAAACACAAATAGTGTATTACGATGATCCTAATGAACTAGTTACAAGACTCAATTTTTTAACATCTTCTCAAAATGCAGGTAATACAGGTGTGAATAACGAAATTATATCTATTTTAGAAGAACTATGTGAAAGGAATATTATATTATAATTAATGTTAAATATAATCTAATAATTATTATTATATATTATATAAGCTAATTTAAAATAAACGTGTATTATTTTTTAATAATGTCTGCATTAGAAAATATAGCAAATTAATTGCATCAGTCCGCAAGAAGAACTTTTCCGAGACGGAAAGTTATTATATCATACAATTTAAGGACGATCTTTGGCAAGCAGAATTAATAGATATGCAATTACATTCTAAAAAAAATAAAGGTTTTAAATTCATTTTAATAACTATAGATACGTTTACTAAATATATATGGACATTTCCATTAAAAAATAAATCTGCTAAAGAAGTTACAAGAGGTATGTCTAATATTTTAAAAAAAAAATAAGCCAAAGTTATAACAAACAGATAACGGTACAGAATTTTACAATAATCAATTTAAAGATTTAATGAAAACATATAGTATTAAACATTATTCAACTTATAGTAGTATAAAAGCTGGAATAGTAGAACAAGTTATACGAACAATAAAAAATAAAATGTATACACATTTTACTGCAACAGGATTATGGAACTGGTAAAATTCTTTAGGTAAATTAATTGAAAGTTATAATAATACAAAACATAGAACAATTAATAGTACTCCGCTTGAAACTAGATTAAACTCAAATAATATACAATATAAAACTATTATTCAAAAAACATAAAAAACCAGATTCAAAGTTAAAAATAAATGACAAAGTACGAATATCAAAGTATAAACATCATTTTAGTAAAGGATATACACCAAATTGGACTACTGAAATATTCACTATTGTTAAAATTTTAAATACAAATCTAATAACTTATCAGCTAAAGGATAGTTTTAATAATATAATAACCGGTTGTTTCTAAAAAGAAGAAATTAGAAAAACAAAATTTCCTAATACTTTTCTTATTGAACGTATTTAAAAAAAAAAAAAAAAATGTATGTTAAGTGGTTAGGTAAAAGTAATAACTATAATTCATGGATAAATATTAATGATATTGTTAAATAAATTATGAGAATTTAAATACAGTCTATGAAATAATTTCATATTTTTCAAATTTTTGAAAAAAACTATATTTTTGATTTGCATTTAGGCACAGAAGAGATACCGGTTTCATCACAATTAAAAATACGGTCAGCACTAAACTTATTTGTATCTAATGTCGCGTCCCGCGTAGTCACACATGAACACTTACACAACAAGGGGGTTCCTGTGAACGCATCTATGGATGGTTACACATATTCTAACATCTACGGATAGTTACACATAATCTATTTGCAACTATTTAGATAATCAGAACTACAAAAACCACAACCGTGAACAGATTATTAAATTATTATTAAATTTTATTATTTTATTAAAATAAGTAATAAAAGCGAGGGTGACCACATCCTGGATCTGTGCGTCACTGATTATGGACCGGTTGAGAGATAATTCACAGAATTCACAGGAAATTATCTTATTTTAATTATTTTATTATCAGTTTTCATTTACACACACACACTTGAGATTTACACACACACATACAGATATCACATTTTAAAGGGACCCGAAAACAAGGACAAATCAGACGAGTTTTGGCTATGCTGCACTGAGCACCTTCACGTCAGTGTATGTTATGGTCTGGACTTAGAAATATTTCAAACTATTTTTATAAGTTACAATTGTTAGGACTTAGATAATTTCTACCTAGAATATTTACAAAATTGTAGTTAGGATAATTTTATGAGTCGAATAAATTTAATTATTTTAAAAAGTCTTAATTATTCCTGACTACACTTCCAATCAAGCGTTGACTGAGACGTTGAAACTGAATCATCAGATCAATCGGTTGGCACGTAACACTAATAACCCTCCAAGAAGCTTTACAATTTTACAATTATTACAAAGATTTTACAATGTTAACAGAATTGTTTACAATACAAAGATATTACATAATACAGGTTTACAATATAACAGTGGTTTTAAATGGACTTAAAATTTTACAACATAATAACATTACAAATAATATGTGATAAAATATTTATTTTTTTTTTGATTACATAATGGTTACAATAAAATGTGATTAATTAATTTAGTGTTAGTTTAAATAGGTTAGTGTTACATATGTCTTGAATTACATTTTTTTTTTATGTATAATAGTGGTTAATATTACATTTTTTTTTTAGATATATATTTATATTGGTTAGTATTATATATATATATAATTAAATAGATGCATTATTTTGAGAACTCTCCAGAATTATTATTTTATTATTATAAAATTTTTTTTTTATATTCTACCATTCTTTTTCCGATACATAAGGTTCTAATGTTTCCAATGTATTTATGTAATTTTCCCATTCCTCTTCTAACTCTTTCCGTTCAGCATCTATATCGCTTGGATATGAATCCCTATACCATTTAATTTTTAAACGCGCTTCCTTTATCAATTTTTCCTTGATTTCATAATTATCATAAAATATACTCAGAGGGCTTTGGTAGTGAATTATTGTTGCCATTCCTACTTCTTTCCTACCTTTTCTGTAATAATTTTTTTATTTAAAGCAATAAATAGATCATAGATTATTTTATTATTATTTCATTTGTTTATTACCTATATTTTTTTTTTCTTACATTTTCTTGCATATTCTAAATAATTTACTTGGTCCTATTTTCTTTATTAAATAATTAAAAATACATTTTGTGTATGTTACATCAGTCATAAGGTCATGACAATACGTTACTTCATGCCCCCTTTCACACAACATATCATGAGTTTCTTTTAGATTTAGCATTCTCCCATTCTTTTGTACATGCCCTATGTTTACCGAATACAACAATTTATTATTACTAATATCTATTAATTTCAAACTAAAAATATTATCGTTATCATCGCTATATGTACTTATATCTAAAAATTTCTTAATCCCTGGTATTCTTAACTTTTTAAATATTTTAATATCCATTGCTCCACTCCAGATGACAATAATTGGTTGGATGTTATCTGAAAACAAGTATTTTGAAATGAACGCCGATTCTAGAGTTGTTGCCCCCTGGTGATTGATACTAATATCAATCTGCCCCAATAAAGGTTTCAACACGTCTGGTTTCTATAGGAAAATTCCTTTCAAATACTGTTTCAGAGTGTTCAGATTCTTTTTGTTGAACATCCTCAACTTGTTATCTCCTGTCAATAGGTCTCCCTTGCATTTTGACTCTTCTATACTTATCCAAACTGTGACACATTGACCCCGATACTAGTAATATCGTTCTTATTGATGTTGACAAATTCAAAATCAATAATTACGAACTTAATCTGGGAACTGAATATTACAATAATATTAATTATCAATAATAAATTATCTCTTTTTTTTATTTATTCTTATGACTAAATTTAATTATTAATGATTTATTAGTTTTATTTATATTTTATAATTTTTTTACTTACTTATTATTTATTATTTAATATTTTATTTATTTTATTTTATTTTATTCATCTCGGGGATGGTGATCGTGATCCTATTACATTATATATGGCTTCGAATCTATCGTGTTCGTTCGTTAAATCTCGCTGAGTTGAATATCGCTGTCTACGACTAGGTACTGGTGTGGATACATCTACAATGGTTCTTCCTATTGCGATTAAATTTGGGCGCTTAAATATTATGTATACAATTATCACCATTATTATTATGAGCATGACTAACGCTATCATAATATATAACGTATACGAATGTGTAGTATGTTGACTGTAAAGTTTTTGTCTCTCTTTCTCATTGCTTATCTGTCGTTCTATTACAAGTGATTGTGAATATTCGTGTATGTCAGTTAGTTTTAAAATTTTATATGATCTAAAAATATATATATAACATTAAAAATAGATATAACATTTACATCGCTACCCGTATCTATAAGTAACTCTAAAGTTTTCGTATTACTAAATTCAGAAGTGCATATTATACGATTTTCTGTCATTATTGATATAACATGGAAGCAGTTTCGGTTTGCTCCGCGGTCGATATATGATTTATCGTACGTGTACCGCGTACCGCGCACGACTCGCTCGCGTTTTCCGAATTTACGTTATTATCATTGTGGTTAATATTATTCTGTCATCGTTAAAACATTTTTTTATAGCATTCATTTATATTATGTCCGTTTTTATTACAATATTCACATGAAATATACCTCATATTATAAGTAGTAGATGGTCGTGTAAAATTATTCTGATTAGGTGGTCGAGTAGTTATGCGTAAAGTTACGTTTATTTGTGCACTGGTTAGCGAAATGACTTCCATTGCAAATATAACATTTTATCGGTCTTTGCGGCTGATTTATATTATTATTATTACTATTATTAAAATTTGGTCGTGCAAAATTATTATTTGGATTTGTGTTATTTCTAAAATTTTGATTATTAAAATTTCGATTTTTATTCGGATTTTGGTTAAATTCATAACTAGACTTATATTTGATTTCTTCTGAACGTGCTAATTGTTTAGCTTCCTCCAACGTACTTGGATTTCTCGCTTTTACAATGGTGCGTATCGGA